ACACTGACCTTGCTTGTCCTAGAATTTTCCAGGCACACTCACCTATTAGGGCCTTTGTGCTAGTTTCTGCGTCTCCCAGCAGCATTCCTCCAGCAGGTGACAGGGAAGTGGGGCTTCAGCTCTTTATCTACACACACCTTCTCAGTTAGACCCAGGCTGGCCTTTCACCCACCCCCGGCTCCCTTTCCCCACACTCCTGACTCTTCCCAGCCCTGTTCTAGTTTTCTTTTTCTCCATAATACAAATCACATTCTAACAATGTGACTTATTTTTATCTGGGGTTTTTTTTTTTGTTTTTTTTTTTGAGGTAATTGTTTCTCTCACTAGAATATAATTCCATAAGAACAGCAGTCTTTGTTTTGCTCGTTGGTTTTTCCCGTATGTCTCACATTCAGTATGGGTGGTAATATTTGTTAAACAGAGGAATAAAGGAATGAACAAACACACTCAAGGTGGCATGGTCTACATCCGAGCTGCTGTCTCAGCTTTTCAGATAGCTCTGACCGCCCAGGGTTGCCAAAAAAAAAAGCAAGGATGAAGCTTCTATGGAAAGTATTAGTCATCTAGAATGCACTGAATTTTTGGAACCAGAGTGTTTACCTTGAGGCAGTAATGTGCTGTGAGCTGGAACTGCTTTTCTGTAGCATTTGTTTTTGCTTGGTATTACATTTAGATACCCATTCTTGATATTAAGGTATATCCTACCATATTTTACCAGGCTGTTAATGAGACTAAGAAAATCAATATGAAGGTCATTTGAAAAGTTAAAAGCCCATGCGTAGATGATGGCAGGCTGCTAATGATGTGGCAGCTAGAGGTTAAAACCCAGAGCTAAAGGTGTTTAACCCTGAATGTTTAGTCTAGTTTTCTGCAAAAGGGGAATATATCCAGCGAGCTTGCTTGCAGAAGGCACAGATGAGCCCGTCTGAGCAGGGGCCAAAGGCTAAAAGATCATCCAGCTTCGCGCTCTGTGGGATCTCTCGCATGACCCCTGTCTCATAACCCTACTTCTGCTGAAATGTTGGGTTGAGGTCATTTGCAAGATAGCATTCAGGGCAGGAACAGCTGTTGGATAGAAAATAGTTCGACAGATATCATAGCGAAGCATGTTTTTTGCCAATTCATGTTTGTTCATTAACAAAAGCAAATACTTTCCGGTGCCCCAGACATATCGATGGATTACCTCTTTTCTGCTCTAAATATTAACTTTATAAGCCTTTTCATAGTTTACCTAATCCTAAATTCAGACGTATTTGTGGGTCAGAGATCTGAGGAATTAGGTTAAATGCACAATAAATGTAATGGAGTAATTTTTCCTTCCCCCCACACATTAAGTGAGGACACGTGGAAAGTGCCTCATGCAATAGAGGCTAATCAGTGCAGGCTGTTACTATTTGGCCAACTTGGAAATGTGAGCTGAGATCACAGTTTCTAAGGAGCCTCAGAGGTCTCTGGACAGGGTGAACTAACTGCTGTATGGTAGCTTAAAAAAACACAAAGTAAGCCCTCGTAAGGCCAGTTTGTTTCTACTTTCTCCATTGTGAAAATGACCTGTGCTTTAAATGACCTGCAATAAACAGCTTCCCATTCCTGTGCACCTTGGAACATTACCTGTCCGTTCCTTGAGCCACTCTTTTCCCAAAGGAAGCACCTTGAAAGGGCAGGGACAAAGGGCACAGGTTTCCTGTCCCTGCCCCTGCCCCCTGTCCTCGTTATCATGCGTCTGGCCTACCCTGGACTTCATCACAAACCAACAGCTGTTCCTGGTGTGATCATGTCTTTGGGATGTGGGGATATTAGAGAAACAGAAGCTGAGCTCTATGTGCAAACTCCTCCTTAAAATGTTCTCCCCTTCCCCCTACCAGCTGCAGGGTAGTGATAATGAAATATTAAATTCATTTTCAGATATCAAGATGTACCATCATTCTTCTGTCCTTGACTGGACAGTGATCTGGTTTGCTGGTTGGTAGGAATACAGGAGAATTTCACTCAGGCTAATTGAGATGGAGTGTTAGTGTGAATGGCTAAAATGCTTGAATTAAAGATTAAAAGAAAGACAGCTTCCTTTAAAGTCTTCAGCGAGAGGCAATAACAAGGGCCGCTTACAGGGATTTACTCGAAGAGAAATACAGGATTAAATGGAATAAATCAATAATACAGTATTTGTATTTATTTCCACGTGCCTAAAAAGAAGGTTTAATACTTGAAATATTCTTAATCCTATTAAATATACCTTGCATGCTCATTTCTCTAATATTCTTTTATTCCTAATATTACAAAGCTACATTTTAACATAAGTTAATGAGATTCTACTGACTCAGATTTCAGTGTTTATCTCCTTTCCATAAAACAATAGACAGTGTTTGCAAATCGTAAGAATTGGAGAAAACCATACAATTTGCCAGCCGTAAAAGTTGGGTGGAGAACTTTCCTACTTATATAGTAACTTCTGTAATTCCAGTTTTAAAAGAGGGTGCTGTGTTATGGTTATAACACTTAACAGCCAGCCAGCTATCTTGATCAGTGAAAAGAACCCCAAACATTCACACATTTTCATTTATTCAAAGTGGAAAATATGGTCTGCCTAATTCTGTCATCCTGCCGGATTGTACTGTGCCAAAAGAACTTTAACGTGTTCGTGTTTAAGCTGTACCCACAAAGATGAAAAAACAATTAAAGCCACAGGAAACAAATTAAAAATGCTAAACATCACTTCCATTTCAAGTGGGGAACATTGATGAAGTTAAATATACTTGCATATTGATTTGCTTAAATTTATGCAGAAAAACACTTGCCTGTGGTTTTCTTTTTAAAAAAAAAAAAAAGGTTTTAAGTTGAAAATTACTTCTCAGTCTTAAAAATTCAGGACTCCTTTTCAATCATTTGTGGGCCTTTTATAGGGGTTATACCAAAGATCTTTTAGAAAAATATATATTCTTTTTCCTGTAGGTGGTACCTCATGGTCCTTTGTGTAATTCATTTTCACTGGATGCGAAATAAGAGTAGCTCATTTTTTCTATGGTTTGCATAAGCTCTAAGATTTGAATGACATGTGATAAGCGAAGGGAGAGAGAAGAGCACTAAGGACGTATATACCACCTTAATGCATGGGGTGGCATTTCATTTTCCCCGTGCACCGAGGATGCTGGCTGAGAGATGAGGAAACGGGCACAAACTCATGTGACCTGCCCTGGGTCACAGATAGTCTAAGAAAGACTAAAAACAAGGTGTGCCTCATTGCAAAGCTTATTCTCCTTTTCCCCTTTCACTGCTCCCTCATCTACTTCATCTACCACACAGAAGATGGGGGCAGATGCTTTTTAATCTCTAATGCCCTGTGCCAGTCCCACACCTGTGGACTCACAATCCCCTGGTGGAGGCAGAGGGCTGAACACACAAGTATTTTGAAAAATAACCCCAGGCATACGCCCCACCTCCTTCCTTCCGCTTGAAAGCACCCTCTGTGTGGATACCTACACTACTCTTATTTTTTTAAAAAATTATTATTACATAGTGATGAAAGAAGAAGGGAAGAATTCTGAGCAAATATTTCGCTTAAAAATTAAAGACCTTAATTATGTAACAAAAAAGCGTCTGGTTTTGGTTGAAATCTTGAAGCCTTTGGACTGTGAAGATTCCAGGGTTTTTTTCTCAAAGCACGTATAAGAGACATTTATCTTAGAATTTCTTTTCACGGGGCGCCTGGGTGGCTCAGTCAGTTAAGCATCCCAGGGCCCTAGGATCGAGTCCCGCATCAGCCTCCTTGCTCAGCGGGGAGTCTGCTTCTCCCTCTCCCTTTGCCCCTCCCCCTGCTTGTGCTTGCTCTCTCTGGCAAATAAATAGAATTAAATTAAAAAAATTTTGTTTCAAAATGATTTAGCCACAAATACTTCTCATTTAAGTCCTCTTTGGGATATCATATCTCAAAGATGGTAGTCAATAATTAGATAAAAATCAGTGAAGAAAAATACTTAGAACTTTGGTGATATTTGAGTAATCTTTTGAATAAAATACTTAAGTTGATTTGACCTGAAAGCATAGTGAAAACACCTAATTTCACTGTTTTGGTTGAACATACTCTATTCTTTAAATCAAAATCTTTTTTTCCTTTTTTTTTTTTCTTGTAAGCTCATAAATGCTTTGAATTCCCACTAATCATTACTAATCTTTTGGAAAACTGCTTGTATAGGGCATTACAATTCACTCGGCTCATGAGTTAAAATATTTTTGTTTTATAGTACGCTTTTCAGTTTTATGGATATTTATGTTTCCACATAATTTAGCAGTATATGCTGCAAGTCAGTCGCATTGCTTAGCAGTTTTAGTTGAATTCAAAATAGAAATCACTTCCTTTTTGACAGCTAGTATAATGAATCGGCTGACTGTTGTCAAATTTTGTGAAGGCAGAAGGGTCCTTTTGAATCCAGAGAGAGATTCAGAAATGCATTTATTGACGTTTACGGGGTTTGGGATAGTGTTTCAACCACTTTGTCACAAAAGATAGCTTTGAAATCCAGCTATCGGAAATACGTGGTGTAGAATTTACCTTTACTCTGTGGTGTGGTTATTCTGCAGTACACCGATTCTGAGATTTCTTCGGTGTCTGTAGGAATCATAAGGTGCAATATTGATAACGTATTTTACTTTGAAGTGTATTACAAAAGTTAATTTAGCAAGCATAGGGATCTGGGACAAAATGTCTGTATTAAACACCGGCTGGTTTTGCTCTGTGCATGCCTGTTTTGCAAAGAATTTTAAATGTACCACTATAATCGCAGAATGGGCTGTTTTATAGATTTTCCTTCACCCTATACTGAAAGGGGTGAAACATTTGTACTGTGCTGGGAAATGTCTCACGGTGTTCTCTTCAACAGCATTAACTTCTTGTATGTGCTTCCCTACTAAATTCTTTGTTCTGCAGTAAACGGAAAATATGGCTTTCTTTGAAATGATTGGACCTTCTGTTTCTCTTCTCAAACCTTCTTCTTTCTACTTTCTAGTTCCTACCACGGCAGCCAGCACCCCTGACGCCGTCGACAAGTATCTTGAGACACCTGGAGATGAGAATGAACATGCCCATTTCCAGAAAGCCAAAGAGAGGCTGGAGGCCAAGCATCGCGAGCGAATGTCCCAGGTAAAGTGACTTTTCTGTCCTTCAGTTTACAATAAAGGGGAAATCTGGACTTGGCCTCTGCCTTGAAGTCTCCCTGGGGGTTCTGTGGCTGATGAATGCCTAGGGGCAGGAGGGGTCTGTAATTTTAGCCAGATCTTTAAAGACAAAGTCTTAGTTTTAAATGTTTGCTCTAAGGGTACCAGTTTCAGGTTTTTAGAATCCTCCTTGAGCATGCCACCTAGGAGAGATGCAGTCACACTAAGTGTAGCAGGATTTCATAAGCACAGATTAAATTATGTCTGCAACATTCTCTCTGGTTTTATTACTTTGTGTATACTTAGCCCTGTAACCATGCTGTTGTAAATTAAAATCCCTTAAAATGATCTGTAGTAAAGATGAATTTTTTTTATTAGATGCCAAAGTATTATAACTTTGAACCTCACACTTCTTGCAAAGCTAATTCATAGGGCCATAGGAACTTAAAAGCAATGTGAACCATAATGATCTTTTGCCATCTTGTTTCATAAATGATCAATAATGCAACAGTGGTTCAAGACTGTGGCTTCCCACTCTAGAACAAAGCAATATAAGAAACACAAGAGATGGCATTTGGAACTAGAAGCTTTCTTGCTCTTGGTGCAGTGCTCTTCTCACTACATTGTTTGGCAAACCCTGGCTTGTTTGCTTGTTTTTTAGCAGATTCTTTATGAAACAAATTGGAAAATTTTTTTAAAACCTGACTAATTTATATCTAATAATATCAATTACAGTTCCTGATATGTCATACCAGTTGCTGGATATTGTATTTATTACAGATAAATATTAATTTTAGCCCTTTCTCAGATTATTCATTCATTCATTCATTCATCATTCATTCAACAAATATGTATCAGCACTTCCTTGTCAATTACTGCCTAACTTGAAGCCTACAATTCAGAGTGAAAAAAAAAAAAAATAGGAAAAGTCAGATTTAAGGAAACATAAATGAGTGAATGAGGAAATCTCTCAGGTCAAAGTCAACCATTCCCTTTTTTGGTGTTAATATTTTATAGTAAATATCAGAAGGTATTACTAATTTTGGCAATATTTAGCACAAATACTTAAAAGCTTTCATAATAGACATTAAATAGGATTCATGAATGAGTCTGCCATATATTTTCTAAGATCACAGGAAGTCTTTAGAAGAGTGCATTAATTATGGGCTTTAATTTTCTGTATTTTCTGGTGTTTTGACATTTGAGGCCTTACTAACTCTAGGGAGACTGCCCCTCCCACGGTTCGCCAATTCCTAGAGGTAGCAAATGGCTAGCCTTCGGGCACACCTTTCATAATCAAACCAGCCTCTCCAAAGCCCATTTCCCCCGGATACCTTCTTCATCTTGCTCTTACACTCTGACCCACTCTCCACCTGCCCACTTTAAGGCTAGGCACCAGACATCTAGGGACAGACCCTATACCCCTATACCAAAATTGTTCAAACCAGCCAAATCTAAGCCTGCTTCACCTGCTTACCATGACTCGCCCACTCCTTCCCAAGGAAGCCACAGACTCCTGGCTACATTTTCCCCTCACTTCCTCTGCCTCCTGACCCACCCTGGTGCTTCTCCGCCTTCCTTCCCTCAGTGGCATTGCATGGCGTCTCCTCTTGGGAACTGTGTGTGAGTAATAATCTTTTCAATGGCATCTGTCTCCTGATCTGTTGACCTCACTATACTTGAATATAATAAAACCTATATTTTATTTACTTATTTTAATAAAATCTGTATTTTAAAGCAACTGCTTAATGTATCTAGAAAGACACAACACAATTTCTTTTTTTTAAGACGAGTGACCATGATGCTTGGATTTATTTTGGAATAATAACAAGGGAGGGGAAAAAGAGTTAAAATACTTTGGCTCTGGAATATAATGTGCAATTGTAGTTGTTGGCCATGATGAGAACCTAAAAGCAAGTTGAACTAGGAAGCTAGGTAGAGTGGAATAGTGAGGTTTCACCTGAAGGCAGTTCTTCTAGAAAACAGGATTTTTCATTAGGAAAAACACTGTTAAGAAAGCAGTTGAGTTGTATTTATTGCCCCCAAAATGGCATCTTTTAAACTTAAATCCTATCTCACTGTTTGCTTCTGAAGCTTTCAGAGCCTTCTCACTGGCCTCAAATTCCATTTCAGGGTCAATGAAGTCCAAAAAACGAATAATAAAAAAAGATAAACACTGAAAGCTCCCCTTGGCATCTCCAGTGCCAAGTAACTTATTAGTGACTTTTTGTTATACATGTCAGTTTCAGATATTCTAGATCTTTCCTGGAATAGTAACTTAGTTTTAGTTTAGCACATCTATTTAACCATATAAATTTTTATGGAATTTCTTCATCTTTTAGTTATTAACTATATCTGACCTAACTTAAGAGATGCAATCTCATTCCAGTGGTCACAGGAAAGAGAGACACCTGAGATTAACACTTACCTTCATAATCAGTGGTACTGAATTCTGTTTGCCTTTGAACTTGCCTGCCTGCCTCTCAAATGTCTATTGGTATTAGTTGTCATTTTCTCTACAGGAAACAGCCAAGTCTTTGAAGAGCCATAAATCTGATGATACTGATACTTTTGTTCATTCAGTGGGAAATTGCTTTACAAGAATATATGGAGCAACCTGAGAATTTTAATTTATTTTTATTGTAATTTTTGTTACTATTTGTTTTCTTATGAATACAGAGATTTGGGGGGGTTGGTATTTGGGGGATTTTGGTATTTGGTTGTTGGGCATCATAACTAAACTTGTAGATTTCTGTTGCCATATGTTCTGAATAGTATCTAGCAAATAGAAGATTCTGAAAAGTTTATAAATGTTTTTATATATTTATATATCCTATAATAATTATACATACTACTTATGGACTTAGCGGTTTTAATATATACTTAAAATGAAATTCTTCAAAATGAAATTTGACCTTTCTCTGAATTTATTATTTTTAAGATAAGCATCGATATCTTAGGAATAGTCCTTTTCCTGTCACCAAATACAAGGAAACTTAGCTCACCTATTGAATTTACCATTGAACAATTTTATATAATTATATATATAATTTATCTATACTTATATGTATATATAACATTATATATCTATATATAAATTTATATATTATATATAACTAGATATATTTATATAATTATATAGCTATATAAGAATATAATTTATATAAATCACATATATATAATATATATGTAATTTTTATATTTTATAATGGCAAATTGGGCCATAGATGATAAAAACATGGTCCTTAGAGCCACAAAGATCTTGGTTTATATCCTTCTCCATTTTTTTTTTTCCTCCATGACCTTGAGCAGTTGACTTAATCTGGTCCATAAAATGGAGATCACCATAACTAATCCCACAGATTTTATAAAGCACTTATTTACGTAGCAGATCTGCAGTAATGTTACCTAGTATTGGGACACCTCAGTGGTAGCCATTGTTCAGAGAGATGTTGAGCCTACGGTGTGTGTTTATCTTGCATTACATAGGCCTAGGGTGATGGTATCAGTGAATTGTTTTATTTGTGAGGGTATAGGATATTGTTACATTGCTCTGAAAATCAAATTCAATTTCATTGTTTATTTTCAATTTATTAACCAGATAAATCTCTCTAATTATTCCATGTATTTCCCTAGCTCAAAGTTTACAGGCCAGGTTCTGAATGTGCAAGGTGGGATGGTAAAAATGTAAAGATATGCAGGAAATCAGTTTTCACATTCCAGTAAGACATTTGGCTTCTCAAACTAATTTTGAGATTCCTTGCCTGAAGAGTTCATGGTAGAGTACTGCCACTGTGAACATTCTCAAAGCAGGAAATTGAAATATTTTTATTGCAAGCTGCAAGCCTTATCTCATCCATAAAGCAAAGGTAATCTTCAGTAGCCCCCTCCCTACAGGTGCCCTTCATTAACTCTTAGAGACTCCGAAGCATCCAGGACAGTATGTTTCTTTTCTTTTGTATTCTGTTCTTATTCATAGCAGTGGGGCATTTGTTCTAATTTTGTTGTGACCTTTTTAAGTTATTTTTTTTACATGTTCTTCAAGTATAGTAGAAAATTCACTCCATTCTATTTTCTCCATAATTTCATAAAAAGAACGCTAGGAAGCTAGTCTTATATCATATACAGCAAATTAATGCTAGATAATAAAATACCTAAATAAAAACCCACATAGTGATTTGATGTTTTATCTCCTAGAAATTCTCTATCAGTAGTTTTTTATCCAAGTCTCTCTCTCTTTTTTTATCTTGAAGGATGTCAGAAAAATCCATTCCTTAGGGATAAATACCCATAAATAACAGGCTCTTGTAGTACAGAAATCAGGTTCTTTCATGCTTTGTATGTCTGCAAAGTATGAAAGTACACATCTGTCAGCAGACGGTTCTATTGCTTACTTGATCTTCTACTCTTTATTTCGCCTGGCTCAGTTATGAGTTGCACTTAAAAAACCTCTGCCTGACAGCGAGTAGTACACTTGAAAAGGAAACGCAGCCGTAGGTGGTTAAGAATCTAGTATCATTTCACTTCAACAACATGTAGAGCTGCAGACCTCTCCTCTTGGCATTCAGGCCAATGAATAAACCTCTCTCAGGGTAGTCCTGGGTCAACTTCAAGGACGAGATGAGGAAGCTTTCTTTCCCTATCAAACAGATTAGCCTGGTTACTAAATTAGCATTACTTGCCAAAAATGCGTTTTGCTACGTCCGGAACATTATAATGTGTACTGTCTTGGAATTTCTGGAGATACTTCGGATATTCTTTGCTGTTCATGATGGGGGTTGGTGAGCAAAAGGCCCTCACTACCCATCAGTGGCTCTGAGGAATTCTGACAATGGAGGCCTTCTCTTCCTTCCTCCATCGTGTACTTCTTTTTGGTAGTGTGTTCGTGACGTGTGCACACGCATAAAATGTTCATGCCTTCCCCTGCTTTACTGTTTGAAATTTTATAACTTGCTTTCACAGAAGAATAAAACTAACGCACTCAATTTAATGGTGGAAATCCTTGTTCAAGAAATATACACACACACACACACACACCTTTTATGAATCGTTGACATCTGTGCACATCAAACAAAATGACTTTCAGCCATTTCTGAGGAAAAGAGAAAAAGACCATCTGTGTTTCAAAGGGCCATGTTCCTTCAGTAAACGTGATCATTTATGTTTAATATACTGCTACGATAGATGATCTACATCTTAGCTGGAGGTCAAATAAATTGTTCTGAGATAGGACTGGAATGGGATCATTTTTTGAAAACATTCAAAATGTCAAGTTCAGAAAGAAAATAATGTCTAATTAAATATAAGTTGGAAAAAAAAGAACTGATGATTTTAAATTCAAATGTTTTCTCATTTTGTAGGTCATGCGAGAATGGGAAGAGGCAGAACGACAAGCAAAGAACTTGCCTAAAGCCGACAAGAAAGCAGTTATTCAGGTAAAACCCAGGCCACTTCTCCACCCAGCAGTGCAGGCCTTACACATTTTCCAGCATCTCTGGAGGATTGTTTGTATTCCCATCAATTTGGACTATTGCTCATCATTGTCCAGTAATTCAGTTTCTTAAACCTTTCCTTGTATTTGCTTTTAATTAGCTCAAGTCATAATTCATTTCCATAAAACTCTTATTGTTACTTGCCGTCTGCTTTTTATCAATCATATATCATTTTAATGGCCAAAATCTGTTGCTGATGCTTCCCTTGACAAAAATTACACCATGATTAGAATTTGTAACAGGAACTCCTCTCAAAAACTACCTCCGAGGAAACTGTGATTCTCCTGGTCATTTCCTGAAATTAAAGTACTTTGAGTAAAAGAGGAATTTTTTTTTTTTTATTTGCAACAGAATTCAGAGTCTTAAGAGCACAGAAATTTATCCTGTGTTACGGTTAGTCAAATCCGGCTTCAGGGACCATATAAAATAATGATTTACGGTGAGAAATCAGGTTTGGGGATGGGGTACTGGATAAGGGAGGAAGCCCATAAAACATGCTGAATTAGTCAAAATGTGGGCATGACCATAAATCTTTGAGTGAAATGAAATACGTTGCCCCTCTGGAAACACTTGGATTTGCTGCCCTATCCCGCGTGCTCCGTCCCAGACTGACGTGTGCGTGTGTTTGCAATGGCAGCACTTCCAGGAGAAGGTGGAGTCTCTGGAGCAGGAAGCAGCCAATGAGAGGCAGCAACTGGTGGAGACGCACATGGCCCGAGTGGAAGCCATGCTCAATGACCGCCGCCGCCTGGCTCTGGAGAATTACATCACTGCCCTGCAGGCCGTCCCTCCTCGGGTAGGTCTCCCAACTGCCTTCAGGGCACCGCACACACGGGAGGCCTGGGGACCCTGGGGACTCTGGGGACCGAAGGCCACGAGAAAGAACGTGACAAGTGTTATGAGCACCTCAGTTCACCTTGTCCTGGAGGTTATGTTGTGGGGTCACGGGGTAGCTGCCTGCACAGGGTCATCTCAGCGCTGTAGAACTCACACCCTTCCACAGAGCGGTCAGACCTCCCAAGCCAAGTCAGGCTTCCCAAGTGACTCACTGCGCAACACCTGACCCAAGTTGACATGGCTGGGGCGGTGACATTTCATGGGCCAGCTGAAGTCAGGGAACCACAAAAGCTGGCAAGATTCTTATAAATAACCAAGCCTTGCTTCCTCATCTCATGACCTGTAACCGAGTGTCATGAAGAGTTGGGATTTGGCCGAGTTGTGAGGATTTTTAAAGTCCTAACAGGAGCTAGACCTCAAGTTTCCTGCTCAGAGCAGCATCCATAGTCTCCGAGGGGAAGCCCGAGTCAGTCGTGGTGTCAGCTTATGTCAGGAGGCGTCAGGAGGCTTATTTGAGGTTTTCAGCAATATATGCGCAGAAAGGCTTACCAAGCAATGCAGGTACATCTCCTCAATGAGGCTTCATGGGAGAGCTTACTTTCGACATAAGAAACATTCTGTGCATTATGTCTGTTTGTTCTATCTGTTACTGAGTAAGAGACATTAAAGTCTCTGACATTTTCTCATGTGATGCTATCAGGTTTTGCTTTTTGTATTTTGAGGCTTTGTTTTTAGGTGCATAAACATTGAGAGTTGTTACGTCCTCCTTCACCCTCCCCTTCTCATTACGAAATGCCCTTCTTCTCCCAGGTAATATATTTTGCTCTGAAATTACTGTATCTAATATTAAAGCTATTTCAGCTTTATTTTGATTAATGTCATCATAGCATATCATTTTTCCATCCTTGTACTTTTATTTAACCTAAATGTCTTTATATTTGATGTGCATTTCTTGTAGGCAGCATATAGTTGGATCTTGCCTTTTAGTTGAGAAGAATACTTCTTGAAGTTATTGATACAGTTATACCTAAATCTGTCATCTTGCTGTGTTTCCTATTTGTCCCATATGTTCTTTGTCCCCTTTTCCTCTTTTTCTTTTTCTTTTTTTTTTTTTTTTTGCCAAATTTGGACTAAAAGAACGTTTTTTGTTATTTTCTTTTGTAGGGTCTTGAGCTGTAACTCATTATTTTGTTATTTTACTATTTGCCTTAGGGTTTTAGAAAATATTTCTAACAGTTCACAATATTATACCAGTACAAATGATATTATGCCATTTCAGGTACATTAGAAGAACCTCATACTCAAATTCTTTCATTTCCTTTTTCCCAATCTTTAGGCTGTTGTTGTCATACTTTTTTCCATACTACATTATTGTTAATTTTCTTTTAAATGGAAAGTTATCTTTTAAAGAGTTTTACATCATAAGAAGAACATTTACCATTTCTGGTGCTCTTTATTCCTTGCATAGATCCATCTGGAATTATTTTCCTTCTACCCAGAGGACTTCCTGTAAAATTTTTTTTAATGCATGTAGATTGGTAAAGAATTCTTTTGCTTGAGTGTATCTGAAAAGATCTTTATTTCACCTTTGTTTTTGATAGACATTTTTGCTGGGTATAGAATTTTAGGATGAAGTTTTCTTCTTCAGCCATTTTAATGATATTCCATTGTCTTACTTGCATTGTTTCCCACAAGAATAGTTATATCCTTTGTCTCTGTAAATAATATATCTTTTTTATTATATTTTTTTCAGGGAGAGGGGGAAGTGGGCAAAGGGAGAGAGAGACTCTTAAGCAGACTCCACACCCAGTACAGAGCCTGAGATCATGACCCTGAGATCATGACCTGAGTGGAAATCAAGGGTCAGATGCTTAACCAACTGAGCCTCCCAGGCACCCTTATCTTTTTTTTTTTTTTTTTTTAATCTGGCTGCTCTGAAGATTTTCTCTTTATCACCAGTTTTGAGTAATTTGATTATGATGTGCCATGGGGATTTCAATCAGCCGTTAACCCCATCTGGCTATTTTTCATCTCGAACATTTCATATCTAGAAGTTTGGTCTGGTTTTTGTTTGTTATTTTTATATATTCCATTTCTTAAGTTTTTGAACCTGTGGAATGTATTATATATAGTAACCTGTAATATCTTTGGTTGCCACCTCTAACATCTGTGTCAGCTTTGGGTCAATTTGATTGATTTTTTTTTCATTATATGTGATATTTCCCTTCATCATTTCATACCTAGTAATTTTTTATTGGCCATCAGACATTGTGAAGTTTACCTTGAGTGCTGGGTACTTTTATATACCTCTATTCTTGAGCTTGGTTCTGCAATGTTGTTAAATTACTCAGAAACAGTTTGAGCCTTTCGGGTTTTGCTTTTAAGACTTGTTAGGTTGAGGGGCGCCTGGGTGGCTCAGTTGGTTAAGCAACTGCCTTCGGCTCAGGTCATGATCCTGGAGTCCCGGGATCGAGTCCCGCATCGGGCTCCCTGCTCAGCAGGGAGTCTGCTTCTCCCTCTGACCCTCACCCCTCTCATGCTCTCTCTCTCATTCTCTCTCTCAAATAAATAAATAAAATCTTTAAAAAAAAGACTTGTTAGGTTGGGATCAGAGCAGTTATCAGCTTATGGCTCCTTCTTCTCCAATATGGAGGTTAGGATTCTCCTGAGTAATCCGCCATGAGTACTGTTTTCCCATCTGGATGGTGGGAACAGGTGCTATTCCTGACCTGTGTGAACACCAGGCACTGTTGCCTCTAATCCATTTGGATGGTTTCTTCCCCCCGGCCTCGGTTGGGTTCTTTTACTTGCATGCCCTGATCATTACTCAGCTACTTTCTCAAGGGGCATTGCATGCAAATCTGGGCAACTCTGTCCTCCCAGCACTGTCCTGCAATTACTGGCTGCCTTCGTCCTTCTAGACTCACTCACCTACCTTAACTGTGGGGTCCACCAGGCTCCAGCTGGTCCTGCACATGGAGTGACAGCTTGGAAATGCATGGCAACAAGCTTGAGTAGTCGGAGAGCTCATATCATTCGTTTCCCTTTTCACAGCATTCACTACCTGCCACCTGATGTCTAATATCTTTTAGAAACATAGTTCTGTCTATTCTGGTTGTTACAGGCTGTCCGGTAAATCTGGTTCTCATTACTCCATCTTGGCTGAAAGGAGCAGTCTACATATATTATGGAACAAAACCAAATAGCCACCCACTTACACTGATGCCCCTTATTTTGATTCTTTTTCTGCTGATGTTACAGCACAGAAAGCTCTGAGGAACCCTAAAAGAGCTTCTGGTACTCTTATACAGATGGTGAGACAGGATTGACCCTGTTCCACCATTGACATCACTGAGATCGAGTGTCTGGTTCAGGGTGACACCGCTACCCTGGTTAACGGACAGGGTGGAGCTCCGAATCACAGCTGACCACCACAGTGCCCTCTTACTAGACCACGCTTCCTCTCTGAACAAAAAGCTTTTGAAAAAGAATATCACATTAGCATTTTCATTTTCTAGTCAGAAAAAAAAAATCTCTGTCCTAGCACTGTTCAGTAAAATTCTGTTTACATGCATTTGGAGAAAAGTCCCTTGACTCCTTGGTCCTCTTTTTATAGAAGACTCAGTTTTGGGGTCAGAGCCATTGGGATCCTTAGCCAAGGCAGGGCAGGGGGGTGGGTGTTGAGACAAGAATCTTAATTGCTGACATTTAGTGGAGTGTTCCAGCCAAAAGTCCAATCTCCAAAGGAGGGTCTTTGCTATGTGGACATTGATAGAGCTAAATATAAGATGAGGACCGAATGGAGTCCTTAACAAATGCACCTTTCAGAAGTTTCAGTTCCGCCCAATCTGCCATCACAAGAAAGACAGTGATGAGAAGAATATTTGCCAAAGCTTCCTGTGTTACCAGGGGGGATCATTTCAGACTGGTCATAATCGTGCTTGTTCTGGGCCTGTCGATCTCTTCCTGTAGAATTAAACATCATGTTTATTTGAAATAAAAATTAAAGACTGGATTAGGGAGAACTGTTTTACTGTCCAAAAAAATCAGGGGCACCTGGGTGGCTCAGTCAGTGAAGCATCTGCCTTTGGGTCAGGTCATGATCCCAGGGTTCTAAGATGGAGTCCCACGTTGGGCTCCCTGCTTCTCCCTCTCCCCCTCCCCTTGCTCGTGTTCTCTCTCTCTCCCTCCCTGCCCCCCTTCTCTCTTTCACTCTCTCAAAAAAATAAAATCTTAAAAAAAAATCGGATTGTTGTTGACTGATCCAAGAAGCCTATTGAATTCTTACCTAGACATGCGTAAAACTTTCCCATGTAATAAAAACTGGGGCTGGATAGTCACAGGCCTACAATCTTGGCATTACCTGCCATTTCTGTTAAGTTAATGAGTTTTATTTAAATTTTATTTTGAGTGTTTAATGCATAGCTTGATACGGCACTTAGCTCTGTACTTTGGAAAAATGCAAGAAAATTCTAAGTCCATTTTTAAGAACTTTTCTGTATTGCTGTTGAAAGACAAATCAAAAAATAAATAAATAAATAAGGGGTGTGCCCGTTACTGTCTGAGGAACGTCATGTCTTATATTGGAACCATAAATAAATTTTTCTGAGATCTTCATCATACTTAACACAGTGCCTAGAAAATATGAAATATTCAGTAAATGTTAGCTGAATATAAGGAAATTAATTAGTCAAAGTTTTCTTTTCCTGTGGATTCTACAGCTGAGAGCACCTTCAAAATAATTATCCCATTAACGCTGACCATATTCCACCAGTCCCAGCCTTTGCCACATGGGAATCTGAAACAACATGGATTGTTTCCATGGTCTCTCTGAGGCTGAGGTTTAATCCATAATTTTATCTACATTTTCCAACTCGAGCTTGGAAGTATTATGTGATGATGTTTTTGTGCAGCTAGAATGCCTTGCTGTACAATGAATTTCATTTATAAGTCCCCATG